CTGTTTGCTTCAGCTACCTGGCTGCCGGCCGCCATCTTGGTTGGCAGTTAATTTGCATATTGCCCTGATTAGCCAATGGGAAGTGTGTCGGAGGTACGGTTAATTACCATGTTTGCCTATTATTAGATAGGATATTTTTTCCTTATTGCCCTTAGTGATTTTAGCAGGTGAGGTTAAACCACTGACATTTAAGTTTTATATCTTAGAAATACCATATTTTAGCATAAATTTGCCCACAGTGCTGAAATAATTTTAGAGGCACCACACTTCTTAGAATCAATGCTACTTACTCTCCTTAGAGCAAATTTAAGAGCTAGAAAATATATAGCATTTAGTGCTAAGCTGTGAGGTACAGTGGAATCCTGGGTGTTATCTTCCTAGGGCCAAGCAATAGACTGGGTGGATTACCTGTATAGACTAAAGGTTTTCTTAACACCCTTTCCACCTTCACAGGACAATTATGATTTTCCCTCCTTATTATAGAAGCAGTCATATAAATTGCCTCCTTACTAGTTTTATATGACTGTCTCTTTAAGATATTGAATAGTTAACTGCTAAATGGAAATGATTTAGCAGAGGAAGTTGAGTTTGCAATTTGAGTTAGGAGAATAGTAACATTAGTAATAATGTCCACAGAATATCTCTGTTGGTTTCCATGTGGTCTAAGACATATGACCCAGAAAACTTGATTCTGTGCTGAGCTAGCTACTTAAAGCAAAAACAAACTCTCCTCTACAATAAGTTCTAAGTTAAAAAGTATTGGAAAATAAGGTGATTAATAGGATTTTTCTTTATTTCATTAACTCACCCATAATATAAGACTGCCATGACAAGAATGATCTTGTGAAGAACAGATATGGAGCTTTCAATTTTAATTGAATTATTTGCTCTGTTTTTTTTTTATTTTGTGTACCCTTGTAGCATTTTCTCCTGATGATTTTATATCTATCTGTCCATATCAAAAAATTTGGTACTTTACTGTATTTGGCCTTCCTCTGTAATATTTTCCAAACATATAGGTGTATTCACTTTTTAAAAACACATATAGCAGCCTTAACATGTGAAAAAATTAAACAAAAGAAAACAAATATGGAAAAAATCTAGAAATTTTTATATCCCCCCCCCCACACACACACAGCAATCTGCCGACCACTTTATGATTCATCAGGAGCCAATATGAGACCCACTGTATTCTCACTGGAGCCTTGAGCAGACAGCTGAGGAACATTCCACATGTAGAAGCTTAAATTTGGTCATTGCTCTGAGTACCTGAAAAGGGGCTGGAACCATCTCCTCATTTAATTTTAAATTCAGAGATGGTAAAAAGTGATTAAGCCAACCTCAAATATACATGGGAAACAAGAACAGAAGAAAAGTGCATCATTCTTTCTGACGGGAACCCTGTGATAGCCCTAACATCCAGACATCAGCGGGACTATAGATTTCAGTAGTAGACCTCAGCCCCTAACAACTAGACCTGGCCCAGGGGAGGCACATCTCAGTGGATGTCAGGAAAGGGTTTCTGTGGCAGACACACGCTATCAATTCCTGGGACCTGTAGAAAAATCCCTTTCATATGTTGCATCAATATCCAGATTTTGCATAGAGTAAAATGCAGTCAAAATAATGAAATAAAACTCTAATAACTTGGCCAAGTTTTACTACACATAGAACCACATTATATATCCACATTAATTTTAGATAATATTTATATTTAGCCTTTTTCTGCCTTTTATTTTGAACACAAAGTCTATTAAAAATTTCCAACTTAATGACCATCTAGGAAAGAAACAGAGCAATATAGTTTGATGAATAAACTGCCCGTTAGATCACCTTTAAGACAATATCCCATCAGGCAATAAAATTGGCCAGTTCAATTTCCTTTAATAGAACTAAGTTTTCCCCTGAATGAAATTCCCTTCATTTGCTGATTGAGGAAGGCAGCTAATTTTAATAGAGATTGTCCCTCCATGACTAGCCTACCTTTGCAGATTACTTAGGAAATATGAATTTCAGGAGGAAGCAAGTCATTAGCAATCGAGGTATTTAGAAGAAGTAAAAGGGTAAGATGTACATTTGGCACCAAGCAGCAATCTCTTTACTCCTAGCTCCAGGGTTCTCAGGATGCCATTAACAATTTTCACCAGGTAAATGTTTCCCAACAAAATAAGCTAAATGAGTAACAAGATGAATATGGTTCATTCCAAAGACACTTATTTAGTGTTGCTTGAAAATTGAAGGGGAAAAAAAATGGTCCCATTCGAGTTCTTTCCAAACATAGTAAACCCCAAAATCTTTCCACTGTGTCAAATCAATTTGTTATCTAATATAATTTGGATTTCATAGTATTTAAGTCAAACACTGTTTGCGAATCCTCCAGAGTAACAAATGTTGTCACTTACTTTTATTATATTATGTTCTACTTAGCATGAGATAGGGAAGTATCTTGTAAATGTTTTTTTTTGGTGTAGTCCAAAAGTGTCCCTTTTCACTCAGGAGGATGAGCTGTTTTCCCACAAAATGGTCAGAGATTTGATGATAGAGTGTCTAGGAATAAGACAGGATTAATTTTTCTTATTTCAAAAGAATTACTAGAAAGTTCTCCATAGTGTGGCCTTTTACACAATACCTGATTACTGAGCACCTCTCAGAATCAAGCACAGAAGAAGGTTTTTATTTAATGACTCAAATCCTTCCTATAAAATGCTCCTAGTCTAGTGGAGAGATGTTCAGTTCAACAGCCAGTCCATACTAGTATTAAGAAAATAAACATATCCAATTATCTTATAGCCCAAATGTAATTACTGTTATTATGCATGTGTATGTTTTCAGAATTTTTCTATGCAATTATGAAGATAGGTTTTCTCCAAGTATGAAAATACTACCCATATTTTTTGTTTGCTTTTTAACCTACTCTCCATTTATTAAAGCATGTTTCCATGTCACAAGTTTTAATAGCATTCACATATATGGGTCTATTAAATTTATTGAACCATCCTTGAAATGTTGGACACTTTCATATTACCAAAGTTTTGCTATTATAATAGAAAATAATAGGCTGAGCATTGCTATAGATTTTTGAATATTTAACCATTTCCTTAGAATAAACATCATGCGATAGAATTTCTGGGGCAAAAGTTAAGCACAGTTCTAAGAGCTCTGATATGTACAACCAAATTGCTATTTTCTATTAGTTTTTATTTGCTTGAAAACAAGTTGTGTTGTTTTCTTTTTTCTTTCTTTTTTTAATGAGTCTCATGATTTTTTTGTTGTTTTATAGTTTTTTAACCTTCTAATTTGTATATATTTTTCTATCTGGTATCTTTTATTTTATTATGCCAGAGTTATTTATATTAAAAACACCCCCTCCACTTTATCCTTTATTTTACATTTGTAGTATAAAAGGCCTCATATAAGGACCAGAGAGCAGTGTCTAGTAGATGAGACTAACCCCCAGTCAACATCCAACTTGGAAATGGAGACCTCAGTCCTCCAACCTCAAGGATCTGAATGTAGCCAGTAATCTGAGTGAGTTTAGGAGTTGATCCTTCCCCAGAACCTCCAGAGAAGAACCCTTGATTTTAGCCTTATTGGAAACTAACAGAGAAGTTATCCACGCCACCCAGACTTCCAACCTATAGAGGAACTCAATAAAGGGGCATTGTTTTCGGCAACCAAATGGATGGCCATTTGTTACTCGACAACAGAAAATGAATACAACTTTAATGGCAGTAATGGTGCATGAGTCTGAATGGCAGGAATGGTGGATGAGTCTGAAATTCCTCTTTTCAAATATGGCTTCTATAAAATATTATGATTAATCTTGATTCTGTAGTCATTTGAGCTAGAGAAACTTAGATGTATTTTCTAGTTTAACTAGAGCTTTTAATAATAAACAACTTATCATTTTATCAAATGCTTTCTGAACATCTTTTGTAAAGTTTGTTTTTAATTCTACTTTGAAATGTTTGTGATGAACTACATCAACTATTTCCCAATATAGCTTTCATGAAATAAACCCTTCCTGAGCCCACACATGTATTCTTTATTTCAGTTATGAGTCATTATTTTAGTCAAGATTTTCACATCATTTTAGAAAGAGTATGGGCGTGCAAATTTTTTTCTATTATTTTTCTTATTTAGGTTTCAGGATTATGTCCAGGCTCATAACATGAATTGAGAAACTTTCTATCATTTTTATTTGTCATGTGAATTATTTCTTAAATATTTGAAAAAAAAAAACCACGACAACTTACCTATGAAATAAGTTTGGACAGAAAACATTTAAGCAGTAATTCTTTAAAAATATCTTCACCAGCCCAGTCAGCATGGTTGAGTGTTGACCTGTAAACCATGAGGTCATGGTTGATTCCCAGTCGGGACACATGCCTGGGTTGGGGGCTCAATCCCCCGTATGGGGCTTATAGGAGGCAGTTGATCAATGATTCTCATCATTGATTTAACTCTTCCTCTCTCTCCCCCTCCCTTCCTCTCTGAAATCAATAAAAATATATTTTTTAAAATTGTGTTCACCATTTGCCAAAGTAATTAGTCTATTTTTAGTGCATTGGCAGGATTGCCATATGGGCAGGGGCATATAAATCAAGCAGAGGTCGGAGGTAAGGGGATAGAAATGACTTTGATGGGGAAATAATGTGAAGTTTTGAAGATCAGAAGGACATACCTAGGAAAACAGGATAGGAAAGGGAATTTCAGGAAGAACAGCATTTATAAAATCGTAAGGATATGAGAAAGTATATTGTTTGCCTGCTATATGATTTTTTAATATCTGTTGTGTGTTTTGTTCCAAATATATTAAATAAGCTTTTTATTGTCCCACATAACCTACAGGGAAAATGAGGCTCAGGAGAGTTAATCCATTTGTATAAAGTTACTAGTAAGTGAAATAATGAAATTCAAACCCCACTAATACCAAAGTAAACCTTTTATCTTCTTTCATATATTGACAGTGTAAATAAAATGAAATTTCCAAAATCCGAAGATAGCCAAGAAGGTTAAAAATCTGGGAAAATAGAAGTAATTTTGTTGAGTCACATCCTACTTCTATAATAGAATAATTTTGATTATTATAGGATATTAACTTTATTAGATTTGTATTGATATTTTTATTTGTTAAGAAATTTCATAATATTTTTTTATTTAATTCTGCCAACAAATATGTGCCACATCCTCTATACAAACCCAGGAATGCCATTCTCAAGGGCCTGGCAGACATCCTTTGAAATGTGAACATCAGTAAAGATAGAGCCCCTGTCTTCTAGTCTCTGTGAGCGGGTAGGAGCATAACTGATAGGGGACAACTGGCAAATACAGATGGCATAATCACATTAACCAAGGTTCTCTCCTAACTGTCCTCAGTACTTTTCCACTTAACTTAATCCAGCATTTAAAAGCCTCCAGCCTTTTTTTTTTTCTTCTGAGTTGAATTCAACCTCTCTTTTATATTGCAATGTCTTGACCTCTATTACAATACTCTTGAATAAAGTCTTCCTTGCCATTTTTAACATGTTTAGTACAGTTCAATTCTTCTTTTTACAATAGATATTAGAATTTTATCTTGCTTATGTAGTTATTAAGTAGCCCAGCAGAGATTCTGACTTTTTCACTCCATCAAAATTGCTTGGAATATGTATGTATTGTGTCACTGATAAAAATAACATGTTATATTATTTTATAATTGTCAATGCAGTTATTTCTATACCCGACAGTGATTGGCAAACTGCGGCTTGCGAGCCACATGAGGCTCTTTGGCCCCTTGAGTGTGGCTCTTCCACAAAATACCACGTGCGGGCGCACACAGACAGTGCGATTGAAACTTCGTGGCCCATGCCCAGAATTTGGTATTTTGTGGAAGAGCCACACTCAAGGGGCCAAAGAGCCACATGTGGCTCGCAAGCTGCAGTTTGCTGACCACTGCCCTAGCATATTAACATATAAGATAACCTAGCTTATTAGATAATTACAAGCATCCCTTTATACTCCATGCTTCAGGATCATTGTAGTGAAACTTAACTTGAAAATATAGACCCAAATTGTCATTTTTGGGTAGCCATTTACCAGCTTTGCATCCTTGGACAAGTCCATTCTCACTATGATAAAAATCATAAAAATAATATATGCTCCTTAGACTTTTGATGAAGTTAAATTATATTTTAAATCACTTTGAAATAGACATTGCTATATAAAAGGAAGTGGCTATATAAAAGGAAGTGGCTTGATCATTGGAAATCCAAACACATGGGATTTTTAAATTGCTCCCATAATGGCTTAGGTAAAATTTGAAGTCAGAATTACAAAAAAAAAAGTATTAATATTCTATGCCCAAAATAATACATTCAATGTTTTAAAATCAAAACATCCTGGCTCTCACAAATCTATTTAATACCATAGCCTCAAACAAATAAAGTATTCTAAGTTTACTTTTTTTCTAATATTTCAATAGCACTACTTGTGCTAGATTTTCTTGTGCAAATATATATATTGATTTCAGAGAAAGGAAGTGGGAGAGAGGGATAGAAACATTAATGATGAGAGAGAATCATTGAGCAGCTGCCTCCTCATGCCCCACATTGGGGATGGAATCAAACACTGACCTCCTGGTTCATGGGTCAAGGACATTCAACCACTGAGCCACACTGACTGGGCTTGTTTAATTAAATTTAAGGATGAAACAAATGGAAAGTTTAAGCAGCTATATTCTACCACAAGCTTTGGGAAGTCAATGAAAACAGTGCTTTTATAAGCAAAGACTGTTGAGCATGCAGATTTTGTAAATTTATAACAGCTTTGAAATATATATTTAATAATATGTTCTGAGTCATTCTGAGTCAGGTGGCAGAAAACTAGTTCAATTAGCTGTAAATAAAAAGGGTACATGAAGCAAACTTCACAGAGAGATGGGGTGAAACTAGTTTGCATTAATGACTAGATGCAGAAACACCAAAGTCATCAGGGCTGTTTTGCATTGGATCTGGCTCATTCCATGTTTTTCTTTCTTTGTCCTTTATATCCTCTTCTGTCTGTTTTGACTTCACTTTCTTAGCCCAGCTGGCCCCACATATCTACAATAATGACCACATTCTGTTTCTCATATTTATATAATATAGCATAAGCCTTATGTTTTATCCTATATAATAAAACCCTAATATGCAAATTGACTGAACAGTGGAACAACCCGCAGAATGACCAGTTGCTAGGATGCACACTGACCACCAGGGGGTAGACGCTCAATGCAGAAGCTACCCCCAGCCCACAGGCCCCAGGCCAGCTAAGGCAGGTGCCAGCGGGAGCCCCCAATCGCCATGCCTGCCAGTTGCCCCACAGATGGCCCTGATTGCTAGCCAGGTCTAAGGATCCTACCCTACATATTGGGAACAGTCTCCTAGATTTAAAAATTAAAACCGGGCAAGGCTACTCTAACACTGAAAAAACAGGATGATGCAGCAATGATATGCACGGACTCTGGCTTGCACATTTTGTAGTCAGCCCTGTTTCTGACACTTATAACTGTGTGACAAAGCCAATTACTTCTTTCTGCTTCAGTTTTTCCACCCATAAGATGGGGAAAATGGTACTACTACCTCAGAAGGATCATGTTATGTACTACATTTTATAATTAAGACAAAAAAATGTAGCTGCCCATACAATAGCAAGATGCCTTCCACCTGTATGAAAAGTATGGTCACTGGTGCATGCAGTGTCCCGGATTGTGAGAGGGATGTCTGACTGCTGGTTTAGGCTTAACATCCCCCGAAGGGTTCAGAATTGTGAAAAGATGCAGGCTGGGCTGAGGAACCCCCCACTCATGCATGAATTTCATGCACTGGGCCTCTAGTATTAATATAATTTAACACAGGAATCTAGAGAAGCAGACATATATGTATATGTGTGTATTTTCAGTTAGAAATAGATAATATATTTCTTATATAAATGAAAAAATCTTTATACACGAACATGATTGAAATAGCCATTAATGTTTATTCTCCTTTATCTTTATGCTACTTTTTAAAAATTTGCATGTACTTGTTTTTAGCAAGGTTTACCCATTAAACATGTTTGACAAGGCCTATTAAAGCATCGTGCACACCTGATTAGACCATGAACTTGTTAAAAAATAAGGACCAGTGTATTATTTCTCTTTGTTTTTCAATACCTACATTAGTAACTTGCACAAAGCAGGCTCTTTATCCATGTTTGGGGAAATGAATTAGTAGTTGGAGATTCATATATTATGGGGTGATAAGTAAATATACAATATCTCAACTTAGAAAAATCACTGAGAACCTGCAGATCAGAAAAAATGTGGTCCTTCATTTTCTAAAATATAAGTGTTGAACAGCTGTATTTCCTGTGCATCTGAAGACATATTCCTGTATGCTATTTTTCCCTTTTTTTCTCCAATTTACACCCTCTTTTTTTTTTTAACATAACCTATATTTTGCTGTGTCTTGCCATCAGTGGCTCTTGTGGCAGCATCTTCCTTGTTATTTCATGAAGCCAATGTATTTATCTCATATCTGCTCAAGTACAAATTCAGACAGCCACCCCCCTATTTTCTTCCTCTTCTGCCCTCCTGTGAAGTTCACTGCTGTGACCTTGATTATGAGCAGGTACATTGCTTCTGCAGCTGAATCTGTTTTGGCATGGATTCTCCCCAGGCATCTCTGCAGCCCCTG